GGGACAACTTGCCACAGCCAACTTGCTGTGGCCAACTCATCATAGCCAATTCACTGCAGCCAACTCATCATGGCCAACTCGCTGCAGCCAACTCATCCATGGCCAACTTTCTGCAGAACAACTCATCATGGCCAATTCACTGCAGGCAACTCATCATGGCCAACTCACTGCAGCCAACTCATCATGGCCAACTCACTGCAGCCAACTCATCATGGCCAACTCGCTGCAGCCAACTCATCATGGCCAACTCGCTGCAGCCAACTCATCATGGCCAACTCGCTGCAGCCAACTCACCATGGCCAACTCTCTGCAGCCAACTCACTGCAGCCAACTCACTGCAGCCAACTCATCATGGCCAACTCACTGCAGCCAACTCATCATGGCCAATTCACTGCAGCCAACTCATCATGGCCAACTCACTGCAGCCAACTCACTGCAGCCAACTCATCATGGCCAACTCGCTGCAGCAACTCATCATGGCCAACTCGCTGCAGCCAACTCATCATGGCCAACTCATTGCAGCCAACTCATCATGGCCAACTCACTGCAGCCAACTCATCATGGCCAACTCACTGCGCCAAGTTATCATGGCCAACTCACTGCAGCCAACTCACTGCAGCCAACTCATCATGGCCAACTCACTGCAGGACAACTCACCATGGCCAACTTACCATGGGACAACTTGCTGTGGGACAATTTAACAATTTAATTATTTAAAATAAATAAAAAAATATTTTAATTTTTGCCATTCACATGTCATTTTGTTCCTCCTGTTCATCTTTCTTTAATGATTCTATTCCACCATTTCTTTGGTATTAGTGTAACTCTTGTCCGGCAGTGAACTATCCTGTGGCAAGATGGCCATGGCAAGTTGTCCTACAGTGAGTTGGCCATGGCAAGTTGGCTGTGGTGAGTTAGCCATGGTGAGTTGGCTGTGGCAAGTTGGCCATGGCAAATTGTCATAGACCTCTACAGTACAGTTCCCAACTGATGTGAACATTTAGCAGCCCAATGCCCTTCTGTGGGTTTGACTACACAGTTTTGAGAGGAGAGTTTCATTTGAAGTATATGTCCAGCATTTTACCGAGGGCTATTGGGATATCAACACAACACATGGATAGAGATGAAATTCCACTGGCTACATATTTAAAATTCAACCTTCCCACCCTATCACTTAACCTAGGTTAAGTGTACCTTTGCTGTAGGGACGCGGTGGCTCAGTGGCTAAGATGCTGAGCTTGTTGATCGAAAGGTTGGCAGTTCAGCAGCTCAAATCCCTAGTGCCATGTAATGGGGTGAGCTCCCATTATTTGTCCCAGTTTCTGCCATAGCAGTTTGAAAGCACGTAAAAAATGCAAGTAGAAAAATAGGGACTACCTTTGGTTGGAAGGTAACAGTGTTCTGTGTGCCTCTGGCATTTAGTCATGCTGGTCACATGCTGGAGACGTCTTTGGACAGCACTGGCTCTTTGGCCTTGAAATGGAGATGAGCACTGCTCCCTAGAGTCTGCACATATGTGCTAGTCATAATGACTAGCACATATGTGCGAGGGGAACCTTTACCTTTACCTTGCTGTAGGGAAAGGGAGGAATTATTTTTCCAGGTGGCAAGATAGAAAAATTTTCATGGGGACTAGATTTTTGGGGTGCCAGAAGAAGAAGCACCCAAAATACCTGCTTCTCTATTATCTCTGTCACTTATGGATAGCAGGACAAGATAACAGGAGAAAAGCATGAGGGAATGGCATCCCACAGGATAAAGAAGCTGATAGCACAAGATTTGTTTCTCATCCCTTCTTCCTTCCTTGAGGAAAATGGGGATGTGTGGTGTCTTGAAAGCTGGCAGCCTTGTATCCTGCATCCTTTTATTCTCTAGCCAATATTCTTGGCAAGAAAAGTGGAAGGGATGAGTTTTTGGCACAGAGGGAGAACCCTGCTTTTCCAGCTGCCAAAAGGGAAATGGTCCTGGAAGTCAGTTATCAGGGGTCAGGCCATAGGTCAATTAAGTGCACAAAGTATATAGAGATTATATAGTGTATAAATGGTAATGAATATAAAAGCATGCATCGTGCTAGAAGAAAACTGCTTAGAAGCATCATACTCTTAGAAAAATATGTTCAAAAATGTAGACATTAGGCAAAATGTGGAACCAAACAAAACTTGCAATTAGAAAAAAAATGAAAACCTGAACAAAATCAGACAGGGAGATTAACATACTCTGGTTTGCCAATTGAGGAATTGAAACACCCATTGATCTCAGTAGTAGGAGCAAAGTCAGATAACTGTGGACAGAACTATTCAAGAACTACCTATGTTTTGAGTAAATAAATAACTACAACTTGGATTACTTGGGTGGGAATATTAGCAAATATTTTTGCTGATGGACTATTGGGCCATAACACCATAATGAAACTCTGTTTCAAATATTTGCCATGGTTTAAAAACAGGACAAGCTGTGTACATGGAGAGTACAAATACTGCTAGCTTGAATTTTGATAAACTGAAATCTTTGTGGTGTAACACTTTAAAAAGAGCCAAAGATATATATATTTTTGACAACAGTCTGAGGTATTCTCTGGTTTTGCTTTTGTTCAAGCCATTTAATAATCTATGTTTGGTGTTTGGAAATCCCTCACCAGGTGAAGTTCTTGCACAAAGATACTGATGTACAGTACATCTTGTGCCAGCAGTTATTGCTAATAGAACACTTCATTTATTTAATGATCTGATTTTCACACTCTTTGTCTTCTTTAGAAATAAAAGTGATAGGAATGCATTCTTTGGGTGCTTTTAGACAAGATTTTTATTGTGCTATTACCTATCATGTTCACAGACTTGTAAGAGAGATCAGGATCTACATATTACTGAGTTCCCTTGCTAATCCTACAATCTTTTCCTGCTGTTTCTTCTGTTTGTTTTTCTCATCACAAAAGATCCATTAAGGAAACATTAATTTGATTCTAAGTACCAGGAGCTGTTTCCACTGGGAGCACCCTCTAAGGCTTCAGAAAAAAAAAAGTTAAAAACTGAAATGAAAATATCTGATTAGATTACTTAGACCCTTATGGGGGGGGGGAACCACACATTCTAAGCAAGGATAAGAGCAAATGTCTTTTGGTTTAGTTGAGGCAGATACTTCCAACAATCTTTCTAAGGATAAAAATGGCTGTTTATCAATAACCAATCAAAGCAGGGGTGAAATGCTACCGGTTCAGACCGATTCGGCTGAACTGGTAGGGATGGCAGCGGGTAGTTTGGAGAACCGGTAGCGACAGCAGCGCAAGGCTCCGCCCATCTGCCCAGTCATAGTTAATTCCTTGTTTTAATCAGAAAGTAATCTGTTTTTTACCCTCTGTACATGCACTTCCAAACTGGTAGGGAAGGTAAGTAGATTTCATCCCTGAATCAAAGCCAAAGCCTTTAATTAATATTTTAATAAGGAAGCAATTTTAAATTAACATTTTCATAATATCATAAATACATCAGTTTACTAGAAAAAAAATAATCATCTCAGCCATCAACCAAACAGCAAATAAGAGCTCAGATAACAGTAAATAAGATCTCAGATAAGAGATCTTCACACAACCCCTTTTTCCTTGTGTTCAATGAAAGAATGAGAGAAACAGGATGAATCCTAAATAGCTAAAAAGTTCAGCCTGATGCTCATAACCTAGAAGACTGGTCCACTATCCCAACAAAGACCTGTATTTATCTAGGACCATAAACAGCGAATTGTAACTATTGAGTACAATGATAAATCCTCTGAGGATATGACCAGAGGGTGTGATCTTACTGTTAGGAAATGGTTATTTGTCTAACTAGTTGGTCAGGCAATATATAAACCAACAATGTATGTTTGCAGTCAGAAAGGTATTATATTGCTTTAAGACTGTATTGCATCATCCTGTACCCTGATTGGCTAAGCTCTGTAGCCAATGTACTTAAGGGAAGTCAGGATTATGGCTTGTGTGGATACTACACCATTTTACCTGCTTATTTGCTGTAACTCTCTACCTGATCTCACTGCATGATCACTGTTTGATCATAGCTACATGTTGCTTTCTACTATTTATTGAATGTTTTAATACTGAACTTGTTCCTGTTTTGAAACTCAAGAACAACTGTTTTATTGTGTAATGACAACAACTGGTAAGAAGACTTTGTACTTGGAATATGAATTGATATTTTAACTATTGTCTTATCTGTGCATGACTTGAATTGTTTTTGGACTTTGCTTTACTTTTCCTAAAAGTAAAAGACTACAACAACTCAGTGTGTTTGTATGTTAACTGTGACTATTCACAACCACTCCCAGTCGCTTTTCATGTGTTTACTTAAAGGGTACTCTGCTCAATAACCCACAACATTGGTTATGAGCCAAGAATATCCTTAACACTTACCATCATTGAATACCAAGAATGGATGTATGAAGACCCCATAGCTTCTCATCATTCAAACTTTTATCAGACATACCATCTTATAGTTCCCAAAACGTGTCTCGTTTAGTCACAGGTGGCATAAACTGGAGGTTGAAGTTGATTTCTTCATTAAGAGAAGGAACTTTTCCTTTCCTTTTCCTTCCCTCCCCCCACCATCAGTTATAAAGTTAACTTTTATCTCATTTAAAGGACAGAACAAAATATTATCTTTATGGGGAGATCAACCATCATACATTCCTCAAAAGCACGCTCTCAACCTAGCCCATATCCAGTCCTCTAGAGGAAGTCAATCTTTGAGATTAGAAATGAAATACTGTATCAGCAATTCATGTACTTTGTGGGGCCAAAAAAAACCCAACAGATCATGGACTGTGGCTTTCCATTAACTGGAAAACATTCTCACAAGCTTTGTATTGACTTTATAATTCATTATTTCAATGAATACAATGCAAACAACTTCAGATTTCATTAGCAACTTACTTCAGTAAAGTCAATGCATTTCTAACATTTAATGATGCATTTTTTAAAAAACAAAGCAGTAAAAGTGAGATCTTTATCTTACCTTCTAAAAAAGCAGGCAAGAGCTATACTGTAGGTGGAATAGTGTACCAAGTAACAGATTTTTGAACACTTTTTCTTACAGGTGGTATGCAGTCTATAGGAAAAGTAAATATATTTGTATATATAATCCATGGGTTTAAATATATCATATCATTTATTTTTTTATGAGCTAGTGTCACTCATAATATCAAGCTTATAACCTTGTCAAGGTGCAGTATATAGTTTATACCGGCAAGAAACCAAGCAATTCACAAAAAGGTTTGGGTATTTCCAAACACAAAAGAAAGTCTCCTTATATCGGGAACATGATTTGGGACAGTTTATACAAATTAATGATTGTGTCCAGAATCCAATCCCTTTCACCATGCTATCAGTCTTCATTGCTCTTCAAAATTTGAGGTTGGGTTGATTTTCTTATCTCTCCTGTCCCTCAAAAGATGAAGTAGGCAACAACATGCCAAAGATGTCAGAAACTAATACAGATGAACAAGCAAAAGAGATAGCCCAGCATAGCAGCATTTGTACAGCAGACTGTGCGACACATTCACCATTCACGCCTCTTTAAACAGGTGTACACAACCAATGGACACTTTTAAGCCCTGCCTTTTTTTCTTTTCATCTGATTGCATTCTTACACCCTTCTAGTCTGAAAGAGATAGAAAATCACAGGAGAGTTCAACCTTATGTATGTATGCTACACTACTCTAGCTGAATTGTTATTTTGGCAACTCACTTTGGAGTAGCATGGAGAGGAAGGAGAAGAACTCTTAGCTGAATTGAAGTGAGCCTCTCTTAATGCATATTAAACAGGCATCCATTTCATTTTACTACTGAGATATAACTTGTGGTGATCAGAAGGTGACTCCTCCAGTTGATGATAAGAGTCAAGCAATGTGTTATATTTCACACTGCATCTTCTCCCAAATATTTTTTTACCAAGAACATCAATCATACATCACATTGCATGTATATGTGTGAGAGAGGGGGGGAAGGAAGAAAGGAAGGAAGGAAGGAAGGGGAAGGAAGGAAGGAAGGAAGGAAGGAAGGAAGGAAGGAAGGAAGGAAGAAAGGAAAGCTCATGATCCTTAGTTGATGAGCAGGTATCAAATCCTGTGTGAACAAAGAAACTTGTCTTCAGATACACTACAGCCTACCTATATTTAAACCAACATCCACTGCTTTATTATTGGCGCTATTCATCTGACTGTAACCTCAACATTTAATTAAGTTATCCTTGGCAGGAGAGAATAGACTGAGTCTAAACTTATTGTTTTTCCTCACTGTGAGAGAAAAAGAAGGAAAAAGTGCAGGGGAAGTCTGGTTGCCTGTCTTCCTCTCTTCTCCAAGTCACTATGCTTCTTTCTGACTATAGAGGCAGCTTACTACTAGTCTTCTTCGTTCACTCCATGTAGCTCATTGAGGTTAAAGAAATCCTGAAAGCTGCTTGTATTTCTGAATTTCTGTCCCTTCTTCAGTTCTAATCTCTGACATCAGCAGCATGTCAGAAGTTCCTTGATCAACAGTTCACTTTATTCCATTCAAAATATGACGACTAGCTTTTTAAAAGGCCGAGCTGAGGTATGGTTACCAGTAACTTCGTATCTTCCATTTTCCATTACTGAAAAATATGAGTTAGATATCAACAGCACGTCTGCATGTCTTGACCATTAAATGAATACAGAAGGCTGAGACATTTATTTATTCATGATAGCCTTAGAATGTATCAAACTAGCTAGACAGCTATCTGTCATTTTATCTTCTAAATAGGGTTATTAGGAGCATGATTTCTATCATCTGTAAACCAGATCAGTTTCTCAATCTGGCTCTTATAGTATACATATGGCTGGATATAGAGAGTGATTAATGTCTGTTTGAGAGAGAGAGGGAGTGAGAGACTATATTCAGTTGCCTTGGACAATTTTGGTTCAGTTTTTGGCATATAGCCATGCTGGCCACATGACCATGAAAATAGTCTTCAGATAACTCTGGTTCCCTCAGCCAAGAAATTGAGATGAGCACTGTGCCCTATTGTCAGACACAACTGACAGGGAAACCTTTACCTTTTTAAATATTAAGTATTTAATTTAATAAATACATATAACAGAAAATATGATATGGAAGATAGTACTAACATCCCATTGCTTACAGGCCATAAGATACTTTGAAGCTTTTTTTAAAAAAATTGGTAGATCCTGGAAGCCCAAATAGCTGAAACACAAATATGTAGGTTTTTTGCAGATCTATTCAGGAAATGAAAGGAAAAAAAAAAAAGAGGGGAATGTAATGGGCTTTACAGATTCATTAAAGTACAGTAACTTCATTAAATAAACTGGGGGGAAAGTCTCAAACTTTCTGAATCCGATGTCATCGAACTATTCTCACAGCTGTCTAAAAATGAATTTTTGAAAGTAATTATCCCTGACAACTACAAATCTTTCACCTTTATACATAACAAACACAGATCACTAAGTTAAAATAATAACAATTTGGCTGAGATGCTTCTATTGGTGCCAGTGTTGTCATAACTAGAAGAACAAACATTCCATTTATTCAAATAAAAGCACAATCAGAGATTTTGTTAAATCCTGTGAGATTTAGCCTGTGAAACTATGAGAAGAATAAATTACTTTGGGGGAAAGCAGCTATATGTACAAGTTTCGCCTTCATTGTAAGATGCTGAAGATACTGAAAAAGGAAGCAATTAAAATACAACAAAAGCAGACAGACTTACAGTCAAACATATAACAGCAAAGCAAAGCTTTTCAATGAAAAAAGCATGCATGCATCAGATGCAAGTTGTGATTATGATTAGTAGGTTGGCAGGCATTGGACAGCTGACTTTTAAGGCTTTTCAAAGATCCTTCAAAATCCCATACTGGGATCCCCATTTTTGTGGGGAGGAGGATAAAAGTCCAATTGGAAGTCAAAGATCATTTCACGGAGGTCTCACACATTGGCTCTTTACCTACTCACAAAATACCCTCAACAGCACCCATGTCACCTTCTTTTTTTCTAACCAGGTAAGAAAAGTAGACTGCAGACCCATTTTATTTTGCAAGATCACTTATTCCTTATGTGTAAAATGTAAGGACCGTCTTGGAAATAAAGATGATTCTGCAGCCTAACATTTTGCTTTGTGGTATACTGGCTTCCTGTTTAAAATATTTAAAAATTCCATTTAAAAATTCAGGCAAACATTTGTTTGATAGGTACGACTAGGGGGTGAGGTGTCCACAGGGAAATGAGTGTTTGTGAATACCACACTAGGAACTCCAGACCTAGTGTGGACATTTTTGTGTAGAAAAACAAAACAAAAGTTCAATTCATACCTGATAATCAAAACAGAGAAACCTATAGTCCATGAAACAATGTTAGCGTATAAGTTGCACCCTCCTTGGCTACCAATCATGGTTATATAAGATGGTAGGATATTGCCAAGATCCAGCAACAACTAAACGGCTGAAAGTATCCCACTTCTGCCATACAGGAAAACTTTCATAGTATAAAGTGAAGATAACAATCACTCTCCATTGTAATTTACTATCCATTATAAAACATTCAGCACAATATTTTATTTAGTTTACCACTGCTGTAAATGTTTAGGAGAGTGGCTAATCTTCACCAATATCTCCATAAGCATCAACCTGGGTGCATCACAGAAAACAAACTAACTCAAAGTTCAGAAGAGATACTTTAAAGATTGGAGCATTTACAAGATGGACTGAAATATTGGGTCTTTTCTCTGCTACCAACCAATTTAAAAGTGAACCCATTGGTCCTTTCTGGCAATACCAATGCTGTACATTTCAGAAAATGGAACCAATAATGCCCTGGAAGATCATAGACTCCATGATGACGTACCATCATTATTAGGACATTGTATGGATGAGAAAAAGATGGCTGGTACTATACCACCTTCCTAGGACCATTCCTTTTCAAAGCACAGAATAAATGGCCTGTAAGCACTCCAATGAGCCACAGTCTCACTTTTAAACTGAACAAAGGAGAACGAAGAAAGCCCTTTGACTGTCTGATAATCCAATTTGTAACTACAAATACCATGAGAAAATAATTTCTCTTTCTCCACTCAATGAAAGTTCCTGAATTTGCCTCTCCTACCATATGTATATTTATCTTCTCTTTCTATTTATTGCCAGTTTAATGGAGAATAACTGAGATAACAATATTGTAGTTTAAAGAACAATGACTGCTAGAATAAACAAGTGCTGAGACCATGAACAGAAAAAATGTCTGAAGACCGAGTAATAAAAAAAACTGATGATTTTGCATATATTTGATTGAAATGTCAGATGCCCTATTAATGATGCTTCATCTGCAGCCTATGATTCATTAACGCATGCTATGATAGCCTTTTTCTGAATGCAATGGGGCAATAATCTGCATACAACAGCAATGACTTTTTTTCCCCCAAAGCCTTTCATTAAGGAAAAAGGAGAGAAAGTCAATAGCTAACATTTTTTTAAATTTTTGGAACAAGAAATATCTTGGTGTTTGGAGGTACACAAATCTGTAGCATTCATTTAGGGAAAATAATATGATTGTATAATTTAAAAAAGAAGAAGGAACACATTGTTAACCACTATCATCCCACAGAACATCTGACAGCAAATCTTATACTGAATATCAAACATGGCTCTTGCAGAACAGTTAGTATCTAAAATAAGGATAAGAGTACTCAGTCATTGCTTGGGAGGTGTTGAAATGACTTGGGGTTATGCCAGAAACTGTCCTTGGTACTCTTCATCTCAGGACATTTTCAGAAGCTGCAACAAGCTGATGTTGTTGACTCAAATTTCTCAACACACAAAACAGTTTTCTGATTTAACCATTAGATTAGAACATCCGCCCAGCTTTCTCCAACCTGATACTCTTTAGCAACTTCCATGATCCACAACCTATGAGGTGGATGAGTGGCAATTCTGGAAATGCTATTTCCAACTCATACAGAGTATCATGGGTTACGATAGTCTAGATTAGATCTTGTTTCACAAAGAATCTTCGCAAAGGTGAAAAGATCATACATGGGACATTGCAAGTCTTCTGATCGTACCCCAATCTAATCTAATTGGTTTAATAGCCAATTTTAATTTTACTTTTCCTCCTCATTAAATATCAGTTTCACAGAGTTGCAGAGGTGTTTTGACTCAACAACAATATTTAGAAAGTCAAAAATTAAAGACTTTAAGTAACTGGTAGCAATTGTATCTAAGCATGAGATCATACTGCTGTCTGATGTTTGATCATTTCTTTTAAAATGATTGTTACAATGGCTTTTTGAATTTCTTAGGCAGGAAGACAGCTCAGGGGGACGCTCAACTAACCACCTTTCAAAGGCATAATATCCACACAGCATTTAAAATTGTTCTGTTAAGGAGTCCTAGTGGTACAGTGATTAAGTGCAATATCGCAGGCAAATTCTGCCCATAGTCTAGAGTTCGATCCTGACAGGGCCCAAGGTTGATTCAGCCTTCCATCCTTCCAAGGTTAGTAAAATGAGGACCCAGATTGGTGGGGCAGTATGCAAATAATGCTTACATTTGCAAACTGCTCAGAGAGTGCAATGGGGTGGTATATAACTCTAAATGCTATTGCTATTCTGAGACCTGGAAGCTACTTTTTGCCAGTTGTTGATAAATATGAGAAAGCCACTCAGAGAACTTTTCAAATGAGGATAATCATGTATTAAAATTCCTTTGTTCTTTACATAATTTGCATCTAATTTCCCTTTATATATTGTGTTCAAGTTAACCAGAATCCTCTGCCTGTGATTAGGGCTGTCAATTAAAATGGTTAATCTATCACCTGTCTTTTAATTGAACTATTTAAATAAATATTCATATTACCAAATATTCTCTCTAACTATAATAGTCCTTTAATGTTATGGAGATGAATTGGCAAACAATATTTTGTTGGTATTAAAATAATAGGGTTTTTTTGGGGGGGGGAGAGAGGGTTGTTGGAAAACCATGACACTCATTATTTGAGCAAAATGTCTTTTTGGGGGTGGAGATAAAAAATAAATTGCAACCATAATCTTGGGAACTATTTAGAAATCAGCAAAACCCTGAAGTGCTGCTCTGGATGAATGTTCATCAAATAATAATACTCATAAAGGAGGATGGAGCTTAACAAGGAAATTTGAATGGTAAATGCTTCAAATTCCTAAACATCTGAACAGTGTTCACACTGAATCTAAACACCATCATCAAAGTAAACACCACAACCACTACCTTCCTATTTTAACTAGGCACGGTTGTTTTATGTTCACTGCGGTTGAAGGAAACCTACCACCGTTTCATATTGGAACATGAAACAGCAACTGACTTAGGATATAAATTAACACAAGAGTTTTTTAAAGTTGAGTTTTTCCTTCACATTTAAAGCAGATAACTCCAATATTTTTATTTATTTATTTATTTATTTTTGGTTGTTATTGGAAGCATTTTAAGACATTTCCTTTAAAGCTGTAGTGAAAACCTCAGACCAGAAGGCATCCTCTGTATTGTTGGACTTCAATTCTGGTCACCCTCAAAAGAATATGGCGGTGGTCGTAACGATGCCATGAGGAGTGAAGGCATATATTGCATATACGTTTTGGTATGAGTAAGCTACATAAAATAGGCAAAAAAAGACACCCCAACCTATTTCTTGCTTCTCTATTTAACAGCATCAGAAATAGGTGACCTGAATGAGTATTCAGTCTGAGATCAATTATCAAAGAAAACCGTCATGCTCAAAAGGCTACCCCCTAAAAGGAAAGGGGAGATATCTAGAAGAATTGCCTGTGGTACATTCTAAAGCAACTCAGAGAGTTATTCTCAGCATGGAGAATCAAAAAGCTCTGGGCAAAAGATTAACATTATAAAAGCAGCATCTCATGGGAATAGAACAGCTTCAGGTAGACTTCTGTATAATCTTCGGGATAAGAACAAAGTAGGGATGAGTTCTCAAAGATAAGGCTCCTCTCAACACAGTCTCTACAACACTCTGGCAAAAAAAAAAAAAAGTTTCAAACTACTTACTGTTTGGATCTACATTTTCACAAAGTTCTGTTTTTGCTTCCCCATTGGGCCTGTCGCTAGTTTTGTGTGATAGTCGTGACGACATGGTGGCTGCTGTCACTACTGCTTTGAAGCTGCGTTTCCGCTTTTGGACGTTTAGTTCAGGATGAAAGATGATGATATAAACTTTCGGCATGTAAAGCATCCCCAGGGCCACTGAAGCACTTAAGTTCATAGATATTGTAAGGGTGGTGGTTTGTACATAGACCTAGAAGACAGAATAGGAAAAGACACACCATTGAAAAACACCATTGAAAAACAAGGAGCGGGTGAGTGCAATAAGTTCAACAACGGAGGTGCCTTTTATGCGACTCCAAACAGATCTTCGGTATTCCAAATTCCTCATCAATAACCATTTGTCAGACGCTCATGTTATTTAGGTTATGTGTGGACTTTTGGTCTACACAATCTATCTGAGGCCATAGTGACAGGGGGAAAAAATGACAGAAATACTTCTTAAGCTTGGTACAAAATTAACTTGATATTGTAAGTGAATTTACTCAGTAAGTTTTCATAGATGAAAAAATGTTTTGTTTTGTTTTTTGTTGCTGTCAATTATAAAATTAACACATTTGTTTCCATTTTGGCTTAGACACTGTCCAAATATACCTGTGTTTTTCTAATGAATATGTTTTCAACTGAGATTGAAACATTTAAACAGTTGGTATCGAGAATTTTTTTTAAAAAGAGAAGTATAAAAAACTTAACCAACAGAATTTGATTGGAGTGATTGACAAGGCTCTAATGGACTGAAATGGAGAGTTCCCTTCTTCCCTAAAAGCTTTTTCCCAATCAATGCCCGTAGTTAAACCCAGCCCTCATTATAAAACAATATGGATTCCATTAATGATTATTTGAGGAATATTTCCCATATATCCTCTTAGAGGGCATTTGCAAATGACAAGAACGTGTGCGTGTGTGTGAGAGAGAGAGAGATTGAAAACCTAAATTCTGGGGGAAAAGATCTTATGGACATTTTCAAAACATAGCTGCTATTGTATGCAAAAACCACGAGTTTCTAAGAACCATATAATTCAAGAAAAGGGCCATTTAAGTCATTGAGTTCAAACCCCTTCTCAGTGAAGATATACAAATAAAGGCATTCTTTTTTTTTTTTTTACATTATAGCTTAGCAATTGGTTCCACTGTAGAACTAAAGTTTTCTCTAACATTTAATTGAGTTCTTCTTCTTCTTCTTTTTTTTTTGTAATTTAAGAATACTATTCTGTTTCTTATACTCTGAGACAAAAAAGAATAATTTGGCTGTACATAGCATCCCTTCACATTTTAAAAGCACTAACATATTCCCTTCAGAAATCTATTGCCAAGTTTAAATTTTCTCAATTTTCTATTTCTCACTATAAAATTTAGTTTCTTGTCCTCTGGTCATCCTCACTGCCCTTCTCTCAACTTATTCTAGTCTCTCTGATTTTTTCTTAAAACGTAATGCCCCAAATGAACACTGTTCCTATAGTGAGTGCTGCAGAATTAACTTTTCATAATTTGGAAATTATGCTATGATTGATGCAATCTAAAATTGTTTTTCCATTTTTAGCAGCTATGTCACACTAACTTCCAAGCGTCTTTTTACATCTTTTGCTAAACCATATATGTATATTGTGCGCCAATGTATTTGATTTCTTTAACTTAAATGAATAATTTTATGTTTGTTTCATCCTTTTATTTTCAGTTCAAATTTGCTAAAGCAATTTTTAGATTTGTTTTTATCTTTCACTATCCCACTCGATTTTGAGCCATCTACAATCTCATCAGCATTTTTCATCTTTTTGTCCAAGTTATTACAGTAAATATTTCAGATTTGCAGCTTTAGGACCAAATCTGATGGAATTAAGTCAATACTTCCCCCAATTTGATGAGAAAACATTGATCAATAACTTTTTAAGTACAGTTTCCAAGCTAACTGGATTTACTTAATGGTATCCACCTATTTTAGTTTCTAAGTGGTTTCTAAGCATACAATTTGCCTTTTTACAACAGTTAATCTCTGGTTTGACATTTGTTTGCAGTGTTTGCTTGTCTGTTTTTAATTTAATATATACATGGATATATATTACACAGGATACAGGATATCATGTTAAGCAATGTAAGCAATTTGAGAGAAATCAATATTAAACAACATGAAACCAAGTATCCAAAGACTCTAATCAACCAGTCATCACACAAAGAATTCAATGTGTCATTTCATACAGGCTTGGAGAAAGACCCAGGACTCATTTAAATAAGGCTATTGTGTGTGTATGGGGTGGAGCTGTACAAATCTCTGAGTGGGCAGTTCCCAGAGAATGCCAAATCTGCCCAATCATATGAGATGTTTAATTATAGGAGACAGATACCCACCCACCCACCCCAATAATTGACCTATGCCATGTGGGCCTTTATAGGTGATAACCAGCATCCTGAATTATATCCGAAAGTCTATTTGTAAGTAATAGACTCAAAAAGAAGCAACATTATGACATGGCCATAGGTGCCTGTTAAAGCTGCTTTTTAGGACAGCTGCAGCTTCTAAATTGTTTTCAAGGCCAGCATATTGCAGTAATTTGCACTGTGGTTGTCTTAGGGTCTCATAGTCTAGCTATGGACTCTACTGCTGCAAAAAATAAATTTGTGTGAAGGCCTACCTGCTCCTTGACCAAGACCTATACATCTAAGGAAACCCACACGTTGTGTACCAGTCCCAAAGACCTAATCATGCTTGAAAATGAAACATCCTCACACTCATGTGATCCATAGGATCACAACCACTCCATTTTAGGGGTCAGCTTGAATCCATTCCTCGCCATCTAGCTTTTTAGTACCTTCTTAGTTCAAATTCATGTATTGTACTTTTTGTCAAGATTTTGTTGTTCCAAAAGGATGTTCCAGAATTTCAGAACTCTAACCACCTACTCCTCTCAATAACATCTCTTCTGCACATTGAGTCTGTCCAATGCATTATTTTGACTGCAGCCAAAATAATGAGTCTTAATTTTTGAAAAATCAAGGAAAGCAAGGTGGACATCCTACAATTCTTTGCCAGACACTTTTTAAGCCCTCTTGTTATCCTCTTGGATCTCCTTCTAACCATACTTCCAAATTTCAGTGTCATAAAGGAAGAAAATTAGAAGCCTGAGTCACCCTATGTAGAGATGATAAACCCATATTAGAATAAGCACTAAACTAAATTATCCCAGATAATATTTTTAAATTGATTCTCCAATCTCTCTCACTCCTCAAAATGAAAGACCAAATAACAACGATCATCCTAGCCTTATCTATAGGCATGAAGTATTAGATACATTTCTCACCACCATATCTTAAGAAGGAATTATTGAATTGGAAAGGGTTCAAACAAGAGTAATCAGGAGCATTTAGGGGTGGGGGTTATCAAAACAGTCAAGATGGCGGCCAGAAGCCCACAATTTAAGCTGCCTTCCTTTTTGACATGATTAAAGTGCAAAAGCAGCTGTCCTAAATGAAAGATTACAGCAAGTAGCTCCTCAGTTTGCAGTGACATCAGGCTAGCAAACTTCTCAAATGCATTTAGTTGGTCATTGCATAACTCAAGGGATAGACTAAATGGGACTCTTGTTATATCCATCAAGGTTAATTTTATTCTTATTTTATGCATAGCTGAAGGACAATAGGAACTCATTCTATCAATGTGACAATGGTCATAGTGTAGGTCAGTGGCTGCTATTAGATGGCTTCAAAATTTCCTTCCTACAGTGTTCTGCATTTGGAGAGCTTGTGATAGAATAGTGCTTTACAAAATGGCTATGGGAAGATTGAAGCAGCACATGGAAAAAACAGTATTTTTTTTAAAAAAAATGTCAAAACCACACACGTTATAATTCTTTCCTGGTACAGAAATGTGAGTCAAGAATAAATTCCAGCTCATTCATTCTTTTCCTTTCATTTCTAAAAGAGAATGAACATTCTAAGGGACCAAACCAACGAAGCACTAAAACATGATTTTAACTTCCATCAAGTTGAATAAATCCTATTCTAAATCTTCTTATAGGCTAAGAATTAAGTGCCTGAATGGGTCACCAACCTGTACAAGCATATAGGACTAAGGATGAAAAATTAGTAAATCATGTTGCAGATCACAGAGGCTTTATGATATTTTGCAAGCTTCATCAACTTATTTAATAGTTTAATCAATTAATGCTTTAATTGCAGATTAAAATTTGTCCCTCATTTATTATTTCATCTGGTTTATAGAAGTATGTTAATTCATTCTTGCATGTTCCAAATATAAATGAACACGAAACTCAGACATAACTGTCCTTGAAATTTGAAGAGCAGGCTAGCAACTATTTTGCATTTGAGGACAGCTTTGTTCAAATATTACCTCAAATTATACATTAACATAAAAAGAATAAATTCCTATGAGTTGTAAGCTTGTAATTTTACTTTTTCCCCCTTCTCTGGAACAGCTACACTGAGATGAGAATAGCCTCCATACTCATTTTAAGATGATTTCAGTGCCTGAAATGGAAATTAATATCAAAGAAGAGTCAGTAGCCAAAGTGCTACATGCCAAGAAAATGATAAGGATATGACTGTAATTTTTAGACTTTGGGATGACGGATGATAAAATCCCTCAATCCAGGAGTATGATTGTAGTTAGTGGAGAAGAACCTTGAAATTCATGAATTGATTTGGAAATGATAACATAATGAGGCCAAAGCCTCAAGGGAATTACTAATAGCACCAGATTTTTAAAAAGGATCCTTTGTTTGACTAAGACACCCACTGTTGGAACAGGAACTATGGGAAGTCCCTGTTTGGTATGAACCAAAGAAAACTTGAAATGGTCACTGTTACGTATTGAATACATATAGTTTTGCTAAAGTAAAACTAACCTTTAGATGACCCTAACTGTTAACTTCGACTGTTTTGGAGGGAAACTTAGAACATTCATATTTGGGCGGGCTTTTTCAAGTATTATGATTGGTTGAGGCCCTGTGGACCCGGAGTATAAATTACAGGGATTTGCTTGTTGTTGAGAGTTCCAGTTGAGTCAATAAATGCTGTTGTATCTATGCTATCTGTTCTTGCCTACCACATCCCACAACATAATAGTCACTCCCGAGACGAAGTGCATTAAATTCTTCAGGCTGCTTCAGGAATTTGTGAATGTAGGTAGATTGGAATGGGCTACTTTATATCAGATAATTATATGATATTCAAGACATGAGA